TCCATCCATCCATCCATCCATCCATCCATCCGCTCTGAGCAGAGACTAAGTGTGAGCGCCAGGAGAAGTAAAGAGTGCAATCATTACAAGTTTTGAGAATAAAGACATGAAGTCCTGCTGTCAGACTGAACATGTGTGCTCTTGGATTATGGCAGGAAAATTCCTCCATAACCACTGAGGTGTTTTCACCAAAATAACCTCCAGAGGTTTCCTGAAGCCGTCTCACCTGGAGACGTCCGGTTCTGGCAGAGGGAGGCCCAGCAGCTGGTTCAGTTGGATGCTGTCCTTCATACAGACCTGCCACTGGCTGAAGGCATGAGACACGTTGACGTCCACCTTCTGTATGCCGCTCTTATTCTGAAAAGCTGCAACACAGAACCAGACGTCTTCATGTAACTCTGACCTCCCTAAGAACAAAAACTCAGAAGCAGAGAGAATGAAGTGATTCATGAGGGCATGTAGCATCCAGTCTGGACAGCAAACAGCTCTGGCTTCTTTCTTTCTAAATGTTCAGAAACTGAAGAAAAATTGGTGAATGAGTTGCTTGCATTGTGCATATTTGCCACTGGATGTCACAAGAGATGTGTTGCCTCATCCATTCATCCCGATCCATCCCCCGTTCCATCTCTCCATCCTGCAGACACGTCTGTCCTTCCATGGCCTCCTGCTGAGAGGAGCTGATGTCGTGGTCCGACCACGCCGGCCCGGTCCTGAACACACCAGCAGCTGGTCTTCTGCTTGACCCCCACAGACAGGATGGATACCTGAGAGGCAGCTCTGGAGCCAGACCAGCACTGAGCCCGACTACCCCAGGAATGTAAAGACAGCCACCAGTTGTTTCTAACATCGGTCAAACCTGGAGACGGCGAGAAATCCTTCTTTAAAGATCTTGGCTGGACTGGCCAGACTCTCCATGTTATGTTTAACATCATAATCTAATCTACTATTATTTCCTCCATCCATTTACTTAAATGAGAAGTTAAAGCCGTCGGTCTATAGTTATTTGGACTGACAGGATCTTTCCCTGGTTTATTAAACTGAAGTATTGTTGCCCTTTTCCAGCTATTTGGTATTAAACCTTCTTTCCATATTTTATTAAATAATTTTAATATTAATTTCAATGTTACTTCTGGAATCTGTTGAAACACAGCAGAACATAGTTGATCCTCTCCTGGAGCTGAGCATCCCGTTTTCATTTCTTTCATGGTTATATTCATGTCTAATGTTGACATGCATTTTTGACATTTTTCCAATAAATTTTTATGATTTCCAAGTTTTTGCATTTTCTGCTGTCTACTGTAACAGGTGGAGCCAGCAGGTGGCGCTCCCTCCACACCCTGAGCTCCCATAAAAGGGGAGCTGGCAGGCAGGTGTGTGTTGGCCCACAGGTTCCAGTTTGTTTGTGGTAAGAATGAAAACTCTTAATTTGATCATCTTAAGTCAGTGCTGATGTGGTGTTTTTATTATATCATTATTGGTGATCCGGCGGTAGCATCACCTGGGCGTGTGGCTGTTCGACGCTGCAGGTTGGCTTTGCATATTTTTATTTGGATTGAATTGTATGTTTTTGTTTTTTATTTTGTTTTTATTTGACAGGGCTGTGCCAGATCTGTTAAATTGACCTTAGACTTGGTATGGTAAGTCAGAGAGGGCTGGTTTGTGCGATACAGGTATGTAGTGTTCTTAATGTTTTTTAGATTGATTTAATTGCAGTGATTTAATAAACATTTGGTCATTTTTGTTTTTTGCAGTCGTGTCGCTGCACCCTGCTGTTCTTTTAGAGTCTGATTTTCTTATTTTCCTTTTTCATTTATTTTACTTTTTATCGTTGTTTTTGGGTCACTTCCTGTAAATACACACCCTCTTATTTTGTAATAATAAATATTGTTCATTTCATGCTGGCTGTTTATTGCACTTTGGCTACAAGTGGCCGTAACACTATGAATGTCTGTAAGATGTTCACCACTATGACCTGCAGCAAATATCTCCCCTAGTAAATCTGCCTTATCTTTATTTAAAAATGAAGCTTCGGCGCAAATTCAATCTGGAAGACTCTTTAGCCTCACCTGTCTCATCAATCAGCGCCTCCCTCTCTTCACCCTGGACCTGTCAGCGGTCAAGCCTTGTTTCAGCCAATCATCGTTTGAGTTCCAGTTGAAAAGGATCTTCTGCCCTTACCAGCTGCGATCAATCCGTTCAGCCGCTTCTCGGTCAGCAATCTCACCAGATCCTTTTCTTCATGATTCCCCGTTTTTCCACCTGTGATCCTGCTGTCATAAGGGCCACTTAACCACATGCTTGGCCCCTTCCCTTCAATCGCAAGAGAATTTATCCTGGCCCCGGCTTCAATCTCTTCAAGCAGCTCCCGCCGCTCTATCGCCTGACTGGGATTCACCGTTTCCTGCTCCTTCACCACCTATGCCAGGATCCATCTAGGCAAGCAGACACTTAGTCCCACCATTAACATCCGCAGGCCGTCCTTCTTCGCCTCAGGCCCTGACATGAGCCGACCACGTCACCGTTTCCTCCCAGCTCATCGTCCATCTTTTCACCATCGCCTTCCCACTGGTTCCCCGCGCTGAATCAGCCACGTCAACAGCTTCTCTCCTTCTGCATGGCTTCTGTCAGCCCGCTTATCAGCGCCTCCCCTCGGGTCTCTCATTCTACCCCGCCTCCGGCTGTCGAGGTGAGAGTGGAGCAGACCTGCTGCTTGTCAGATGACGGAAAACGTTGAAGTCTCGTTTCTGCTTCAGCGGTTTAAGCAGAGAGGAAATGAGATACAACAGACACTGACAGGCCTCTGTCTGCCTTTCTCTGAAGAACTACTGAGGGGAGGAGACAGCCAGGTGAGGAGAAACTGTTCTGATCTATCGATTCAGGATTTTTATCATACAGGCTGTTGTTGTTGTGCTATTAGCTAGCTGCTAGCTAACGACTCTGCTAGCAAAGCTAGATAA